TCTTCAATTCCCAGCAAGGAAAGGCCTGCAGGGCCCAGTGAGGAGGGACGCATAAAATGCCCCTAAAAGACCAAGTAGAATTTCTGGCAAGTAACGTTCCATAACTGGCAGGTTTTTGGGCTTGGCCTGGAAAACTGTCATCAATATCCAAAACATGGCTCCGAACCACAAAATTTCTCTGATAGTTTAACATAAATTCTTCCAGATTCTGTATAAAGCCATTTCCTCTTAGAAAGTAGCTGATTATCAGCTGCTGACTATTAAGCTATGAGGTACTTAAACCATTTAAGGTTTTGGTACAGCCAAGTCAAATTCAGCTTGCATCCTGGAACCTTTTAACAAGCAACGACATTACTTCTGAGCATCTTCTGTAACCATCTCCTCACATCTCGCTGACCTCATATCCTGGCCCAGGGGTGCAGTTCCTGACTCCTAGGAAGCCCTAGCCCTTTTAAGAATCTATAAATTTCCTAAAATAGAACTAACCTTTATTTTGCTTCCGGCAGTAGTTGGGCGCCCTTTCTTGTCAGCTTGCAGATTTTCCGGAAATAAAGACTTTATGAAAGGCCTGGAAAAGGAGAAAGAGAATGAATTAGCAATCTGTAAGTACCTTGGGGTCTGAAAGCCCGCCTTTTTAGAGGATGGGGTGGAGGGCCGTCCCCAGGCACATAACCTTGGCTACAGAAAAGCCATCTGACTCACGGCACAGGCCATCAAGATGTGACTTGGGGAAATGAACAATGGACAAAAGACATGAAAGGAAAGAATTCTAAGATATAAGCAACTTGGAATCAAAGACTGCAAAATAAATTTTAAAACGTTGCTTTCCAACGTCCCTAGTCACAGGAATTGAGGTATATCTTGACAGTAGAACATAACAGAGGGAGGTCAGTAGGGGATTTCAGGTTTTCGTTTTCTTTTGTTTTTGAGACAGGGTCTCGCTCTGTTGCCCAGGCCGGAGTGCAGGGGTTCAATCATGGCTCACTGAAGCCTCGACCTCCCAGGCTCAAGCCATCTTCCCACCTCAGCCTCCTGAGTGACTGGGACTATAGGCAGGTGCTACCACATCCAGCTAATTCTTGTATTTTCTATAGAGATGGGTTTTGCCATGTTTCCCAGGCTGGTCTCAAACAACTGGGCTCAAGAGGTGTTCCTGCCTCAGCCTCTTGAAGTGTTGGGACTACAGGCGTGAGGCACTGCGCCCGGCCAGCATGTGTTTGTTAACACAAGTAAGCTAGACCAGAACTCAGGGAATTATATGAAATATCTGGATTCAGTGCAGATGCTGCTTTGCTCTAGAGCAGTTTCCGAGCCTGGGCACCACTGGTATCTGCGGCTGAATAATTCTTTGTTGGGGGCTGAGGAGGGGGCCTCTTCTACATATTGTGGGATATTTAGCAGCATCTATGGTCTCTGTTCACCAGATGCCAGTAGCACACTGTTCCCAGCTCTACACAGAAAACCCTGACAAACTGCTTTTGAGTATGAGCAATTTTAAGTGGAGCAGTAACAAATCACGAGCACTTTGCCTCCTGAATATACTTTCTTTTTTTTTTTTTGAGACAAAGTCTCACTCTATCGCCAGGCTGGAGTGCAGTGGCGTGATCTTGGCTCACTGCAACCTCTGCCTCCCAGGTGCAAGAGATTCTCCTGCCTCAACCTCCTGAGTAGCTGGGACTACAAGCGCACACCACCACACACAGCTAATTTTTGTATTATTAGTAGAGACAGGGTTTCACCATGTTGGCCAGGATGGTCTCGATTTCTTGACCTCATGATCCACCTGCCTTGGCCTCCCAAAGTGCTGTGATTACAGGCGTGAGCCCGTGTCTGGCCTGTATATACTTTCATTAGTGGTGCTATTTGAGCTGCATGTGTTTACACATCTGCCTCACTAGCAATAGGACAGGGACAATGCCTTCCTCATCTTAGTGCCCCTGGTGTGTCTGAAGCATAGCATGGTACACAGTTGGTCCATAATATATATTTGCTGACTGGGTGAATGACGGGATCCATGTAAATTAGCAATCTGACATTCAAACTCAAACTCACTTCCTCCTCAATGACTTTTTGGGCATCTTGAATGTTCCAGGAAGTCTCCCCAGCAATCTATTTTTAACTTGACCAGACACGACTACAGATTTTGACATCAAATGTGTTTATAAAATAATAGGCCATGTCTATATGACAGCAGTTTATATGGAAGCAATAATAGCTCTTAAACTTGGCAGGAATTTTAATAAGTTTTTAAAAACAATCTCTGGAAGCAAGTCTGCACCTGACTGCCATAAAACCCACAAGCCAGGACTTGTGGCTTACCTAACCATCTCAGAGAAGAACCGATCGATTTTGTATGTTGTGAATAAAAAGAAATGCAAAATCTCAAAAATGGTGGTGTGACTGCAAAGAAGGGCAGAGATGGAGCGCAGAGGGTGAAGAGGGGCAGGGAGCGGCAGAGAGAGAATTAAATGGAGCAGAACAGCTATCCAGGGCCTGAAAAGGAAACTCTTGCTTTGCTTTCATTGCAGTCAGTCCTTTATTAGGAAATTATCAGGCTCGCTGCTGTTGATTAGAGGAACTGGCCTTGCTGTTGTGACAGCTTAAGTAATAGAGACCAGAAGGGCAACTCTTACTTGAAATAAACTCTAGAAATTGTTAGATCTGGCATGCATGGGCCTTGCCTTGCCTTGCAAGCATGGACCTGCTCATGTAAATTATATCTTCTTATGTGTTATCCAAGATCTTGAGAACCTTTTCAGGGAAGAGGGGAGGAAGGCAGAGGTGGTCCTGAGAGTTCTAGCAGCGTGTAAGGGGGATACCCCCACTGTTCTACCCCTATAGCTGAAACAGGGTCTTGGGAGTTAAAATGGATCTCTGAGTCACTCCTTCTTTAGTTGTCCCTCCCAGAGTTCTCAAGCCATTTCTTAAGTACTTCAGGGACTCTGGTTAATGTGGGTCTTGCTAAGCCATTAAACATCTTTAAAAATTCAAAGACCATGAAGAAGAGTTCAAGGGCAAAATGTCATAGAACCAGACTGTTCCACTCTTAAATGGTCAGAAATGGCCATCCCAATCCAAAGCCAGTGGGCTCACTTCTCCCTGATAATAGTATTGAAAGGTAGAAAGTCTGATGCCCTCAAGGACCTGTAGATGGCACTTGGAATTTGGGTGCATGAAGTGTTAGGGACATAAAAGGGAGAGACTGATATAGAGAAAAGAAAGCTATTTTGAGAAACCAAATAGATCAATAATAATCCAGACCCAATAGCACGAAGGAACAAAATCCTAACCACTAAACATCACAGGTATTTTGTTTTGTTTTTGTTTTTTCTTTATTAGAGACACGGTGTTCCTATGTTGCCTGGCTGGAGGGCAGTGGCTATTCATAGGAGTGATCATAGCTCACTGCAGCCTCAAACTCCTAGGATCAAGTGATCCTCCTGCCTCAGCCTCCCGAGTCGCTGGGACTATAGGAGCACACTACCACACTCAGCTCGTAAGTTAGTTTTCATATTGAAAATTTCATCAAACCTATATCCCCTGTCAGCTATGGCAAAACATACTTACAGCTCACTGCTCTGCATAAGCTCGATGAGATCCATAAAAAGCACATCCCGGTTCCTTTCACAAAAGCCATCCATGTCATAGGATACCTGGCCAAGAACGGAAAGAAATCTAATTTCATTGAACAAAATGTAATTTCATTGAACAAAATGTAATTCATTGAACAAAATCATTTATTGAGCAAAAAATCTAATTTCACCAAACAAAAAACCCAAGTTGCCATGGCTATCCTCACCACAACGTGTGGATTTCCAGATGTTGCATTTGGGATTTCATTGTGCACTGTCACAGGAAGGTTGTGCATGTCTTACTTGTTAGCTGACTTAGCGGGGATGACCTGCAGATGCTGGTAAGTATCTGCCTGCCTGGATGGCCCAGGTGATCCATAATCAGAACTCCAGCTCTCAAGGCCCCATACCCCTTTTTCAGTGGATTCACAGGGGTGTCTAAATGACAAACTCAATTCTTTTCCTAAATTTTAGCTAAGACAGAGCAAAAGCGAAGCCCCTCATGCTCAGTAATTCATTACAATGAGCCATGTCATCTGAGGCTTTGCAATTTCTCCCAGAAGCAGTATCGAATTTGCACCAATCTGGCCAGAAACTCATGCTCACTCTGTTTAACAAGAGGTCAGCTGGGATGATGGATGAGACCAGGGGATTTCCATAGGACCAGGAAGTCCCCAAGACCATGACCTCAAATTACTTTTTTATCATCTGCAGCCCCACACAGCCTGGCACCCACTAGGCACCCAATACTCATGGGTTTTATGAGAACAAACACCAAAAGTGAACTCTGGGCCTTGATTTATACTCCCAGTCGGCATGGGGAGACAAGGAATGCCAGTCTGTGATTCCAGCAAGAGGAAAGACAAAAATCTATTTCTTCGGCAGCTAATATATGTAGCAGGGTGATTCATGTTCCAAAAATATGCAGTAGTATGGTGAGATTTAGTGCTGGAGTGACTCCCAGCTGGCCCCTACCCTGCTCAAGCTTCAGCTGACTGTCCCAGTGCGGGTCCTGGCCAGGACTGGCACCAAGGCAGCGGGATCCTTTCAAAATAGGCCTCCAGCGCCATAGACCAGAAAGCAGGAGCCCACTTCTCGGACACTGGGAGATGGTGCAGGCAGCCACCAGTACACAAAGCACAGCGCCCTATCCTTCCCGGCAGGGCCATGGTTCAGAAAACTTAACCTTATTTTCATCTGTAGATAATAGAAGCATTTTTCCTTGGCACTCATACTAAAAATAAAAAACTAGTAATCCCAGGGATCTTGGTTAGCTTCTTCAGCATGTCAACTATTGATGAGAACACTCTTTGTAAGACGAACTCCAGAAATCCCTTGCCAGAGAAGCAGCCCTTCACTGCCTTAGTCTGAGCACCCACGGAAAGCCCGTCTCGGAGACGCCGGAAAGGCCCGCGCAGCCGCAGTAGAGGGCCAGGGGGCGGGTCATGCGCACCCGCAGTAGAGGGCTGAAGGTCCTGCCAACGGCTCTCTTGGTGTCTCAACGTTCTGGTCAGCAGCTTTTTGCCGTTTCTCTCTCTCCACTTCTTGAGCGAGCAGCCATGAGTTGGACTGTGCCTCTTGTGCGGGCCAGCCAGAGAGTGAGCTCAGTGGGAGCGAATTTCCTGTGCCTGAAGATGGCCCTGTGTCCCCGTCAGGCAGCGCGCATCCCACTCAAGGGCGCCTGGCGCTTCACCTCCGTGAGCAAGATGGCGACTGTGAAGAGTGAGCTTATTGAGCGCTTCACTTCTGAGGAGCCCGTTCATCACAGTAAGGTCTCCATCATAGGAACTGGATCAGTGGGCATGGCCTGTGCTATCAGCATCTTATTAAAAGGCTTGATCGATGAACTTGCCCTTGTGGATCTTGATGAAGGCAAACTGAAGGGTGAGACGATGGATCTTCAACATGGCAGCTCTTTCACGAAAATGCCAAATATTGTTTGTAGCAAAGATTACTTTGTCACCGCAAACTCCAACCTAGTGATTGTCACAGCAGGTGCACGCCAAGAAAAGGGAGAAACGCGCCTTAATTTAGTGCAGCGAAATGTGGCCCTCTTCAAGTTAATGATTTCCAATATTGTCCAGCATAGTCCCCACTGCAAACTGATTATTGTTTCCAATCCAGTGGATATCTTAAGTTATGTAGCTTGGAAGCTGAGCGCATTTCCCAAAAACCGTGTTATTGGAAGCGGCTGTAACCTGGATACTGCTCGTTTTCGTTTCTTGATTGGACAAAAGCTTGGTATCCATTCTGAAAGCTGCCATGGATGGATCCTCGGAGAGCACGGAGACTCAAGTGTTCCTGTGTGGAGTGGAGTGAACATAGCTGGTGTCCCTTTGAAGGACCTGAACTCTGATATAGGAACTGATAAAGATCCTGAGCAATGGAAAAATGTCCACGAAGAAGTGATTGCTACTGCCTATGAGATTATTAAAATGAAAGGTTATACTTCTTGGGCCATTGGCCTATCTGTGGCTGATTTAACAGAAAGTATTTTGAAGAATCTTAGGAGAACACATCCAGTTTCCACCATAATTAAGGGCCTCTATGGAATAGATGAAGAAGTATTCCTCAGTATTCCTTGTATCCTGGGAGAGAATGGTATTACCCATCTTATAAAGATAAAGCTGACCCCTGAAGAAGAGGCCCGTCTGAAAAAAAGTGCAAAAACACTTTGGGAAATTCAGAAGGAGCTCAAGATTTAAAGTTGTCTAAAACTACCATTCCGAAATTATTGAAGAGATCACAGATACAGGATTATATAACGAAATTTTGAATAAACTTGAATTCCTAAAAGATGGAAATAGGAAAGTAGGTAGAGTGACTTTCTTATTTATTTAGTCCTCCAGCTCTTTTATTTAGCATCCACGTGCTGGATGATACTTATTTACAGTTCCTAAGTGTTTTTGGTACCTCTGATGTAGCAGCACTTGCCTTATTATATACATGTTGTTAGCATTTGGTTCCCAAAAAGTAGGATGTAGGTATTCATTGTGTTCTAGAAATTCTGAGTCTTTTCATTAGATATATGCTATTTCTTTCATTCTTGCTGTCTTACACCTATGTTCATTTATATGCTGTAAAGTAGTAGCTTCTTCTACAGTATAAAAATAAAAGAATGTACATACAAAAAAAAATATGCAGTAGTATATACAATCTTTTGTTTTGCTTCCTTTGATAGTCAATAAGTTCTATTTGTTGAATGAATAAAATATGGCAAAGCATATGATTTGCTTCATGAGAAACCGGATCACAGACCCAAAAGCTTAAAACAGACATTAAAATGGATATTGGCCATACCTTCCCAGCATAATGATGAATGATGAAGCCTTGGTTCCAACTGTTGAAGTGCTCATGACTCCCAATCTGCATCTGAAGTTTCTGGAGCAGTGTCTGATCTGCCCCCTCACCCACCGCATGCATCGTGGCGCACACATCATCCAGGATGCTCATGATGCCAGGAGGGTTCTGATGGGAGCAAGAAGGCAAGGCCCTAGTCACTGACCTCTCCGAAACAGACAATGCTTATCAGGTCCTTTCTTAGGGAAGGAAACAGCTCCCCAGACTTAAGATACCATCTTGAAAGTCAGTCTTCCCCTTCAGGCAAGAATGCAATTAATAGTCCCAAATGGGAAGTCACCACTTAGATCTAAAGAGGGAGGAACTCCATTTTCCAAAAAGCTGTTTAACTCCCTGAAGTTTTATCCAACAGTCATGCACAGATCATTATCTGCTCACTCATATTCATGCCAAATTGACTTAAGAATCCAAAAGTAAAATAAAAACATTTTCCTTTGACCTAATCTATTTCTTAATGTTCTCTTTCAGCATGTTACCCATATAGGCATCGTTTATATAGTTATTTAGTGTACACACTCTATAATGCATTTCCTTTTTCACATAGCACTATTTTATAAGCATTCCTCATGTTTTACATATTCTTCATACTTCCTATTTTATGGCTATATTTCTCATTTGTTTAATAACTAAGTTGTCTGGCCGGGCATGGTGGCTCATGCATGTAATCCTAGCACTTTGGGAGGCCGAGGTGGGTGGATCATGGGGTCCGGAGTTCGAGACCAGCTTGGCCAACTGGCCAACATGGTGAAACCCCTGGGCAACAGAGCGAGATGCCTCTCAAAATAAAAATAAATAAGTAAGTTGTCTACGGATGTTTTCACTGTTTCCAGTGTTTGACTTATATATATATATATAAAAAATCCTATAGAGATATTTGTTCTGTATCACTTTTATTTTGAATCATCTTTTTTTCTTTTGAGACAGGGTCTTGTCTTGCTCTGTCACCCAGGCTGGAGTGCAGTGGCACAATCTCAGCTCACCACAGCCTCAACCTCCCAGGCTCAAGCGATCCTCCCACCTCAGCCTCCAGAGTAGCTAGGACCACAGGTGCGTGCCACCATGCCTGGCTAATTTTTGTATTTAGCTAATACAATTTTTGTATTAGCTAAATTTTGTGTTTGGAAACAGGGTTTCACCATGTTGCTGGGGCTGGTCTTGAACCCCTGTGCTCAAGCGATCCACATGCCTCGGCCTCCCAAAGTACTGGGATTACAGGCATAAGCCACCATGCCCAGCCTGAATCAGTCATTAAGGCTAAAGTCCTAGAAGTTGGACTAGAACACAGGGCCAGTTTTATGGCTCTTCACATGCTAAGTCATCGTGTGATAGCTGTCTTCTCTTAGAATCAGTAACAACTTCCATTTGTAAACTGACATTTTACTCATATCCACATGTTCATATTTACTGCCAGAATAAAGCCCTACTGTTTTCTTTTCACACATACAGAAAACTAATACAATTGCTCAAATTCTCTGCAAATCAGAGTTGTCACTTTGCCTGTTCTAAAACAACGACACAGAACAAAAACTCACTCAATGTAAACCTGTGAGCAGTGAAGACATACTAAACCAACACTTACCACTTTGTTCTCTATGAGGTCACATACAATTTTATTATTAAAGTACTCAATGGGTGTCCATCTTATTCCCTCTTGAACATATTCTTCCTGTAAGACAGAAACCAGGAACTCACATTATTTCCCAAATAGCAAGAGCTCTGCACGGACAGACCCTGAATGGACAAAAATTCCCATGAAAGAGAAAAACCTGAATGCCCTTCAACAAATACCAGGAACTTTAATTTCTTATTTTCTAAGAGGTAACAAGAAAGGAACACTTTATGACTTGGTGATTTTTATGTTTAGTTTGAACCCTATGAAATTGTTGCCACACAATTGTTTCTGGCCAACGAAAACTGCAATTTAGTAGCACCGAACTCATAAATCCAGTTACAAAAAAAATCACAAAACTTAAAATTTAACATAGGGCTGGGCGCAGTGGCTCACATCTGTAATCCCAGCACTTTGGGAGGCCGAGGTGGGCGGATCACGAGGTCAGGAGTTTGAGACCATCCTGACCAACATGGTGAAACCGTCTCTACTAAAATTACAAAAAGTAGCTGGGTGTGGTGGGGTGCACCTATAATCCCAGCTACTTGGGAGGCTGAGGCAGGAGAACTGCTTGAACCCAGGAGGTGGAGGTTGAAGTGAGCCGAGATCGCGCCACGGCACTCCAGCCTGGGCGACAATGCGAAACTCCATCTCATAAATAAATAAATAAATAAATAAATAAATAAATAAAAATAAAAATTAAATATAGGACAGGAGTAGATTAGCAACCAGGTACTTAATGGGAAGGTTCTTCAGTCTATCAGAGGCTCATTTAACTTGAAAACCATGACACTATCCTGGTTTTTTCTTCTTTCCTCACTGGTTTCACTTTCCCGGCTTCCTTTGCTAGCTCTTTCTTACTTCCAGAACTTTATATGTGGTGGAGTCTCAGGGGTCAATCTTTCAGCCTTCTTGTTTTCTCAGCCCTTCTTCTCTAGGTGATTTCTATCAATCCCATGGCTTTAAATACATCACCTACAGGCTAATGACCCCTGAATTGATTTCTCATCTATATCTCGCCACGGGGTTCCAGACTCAAATCCATTCTACAGACTGGAATCTTCGCTTGGATGTATAATAAATGGGCCTCTCCAACTTAACCTGTTTAGAGGAATTCTGATTCCATATTTCCCATGACCTCCAAACAACCCCTCTTCTCATCTCACCCTCCAGTAAATAGTGTCACCATCAGCCCTGTTATCCAGGGTATAAAGCTAAGAATCACCCATGATTGCTCCTTCTTTCTTGGCTACTGTTAATTATTTTGAGCAAGTCCCATTCTCTCACTCTCCAGATACTCCCTCTCACCACCTGGACTGCTACCATCGCCGTCTGAGTCTCTACCACATCTAACGCAGTCTCCTGCAGTATCCCCATCACTGGTTTTTTAACTTCCATTCTAGTTTGCTTTCCCCTGCCTCACCCCACTCTATAAGCCTACAGAGCCAGAGTGACCCTTTCAAAAACGCAAACAACAAATCAGATCATGTCACTCCTCCCTCAAAATTCTTCAGTGGGTCCTCATTCCACTTACTATAACACCCAAAGTCTCAGCCATGCCCTACAAGTTCCCATATGATCTAGCCCCTGCCTCCCCGCTCCGATCTCATTGGCTATTGTGCTCTTTCTTGGTTGTTTTTCTCTGGCTACTCTAAGGGTTGGGGAAGGCTAGAGGTTCACGGGAAACCCATATGGAGACTACCAAACCAGTTTGGAGACTACTGCAGAAGACTGGGCTAGACGTGGTAGGGACTTAGATGGCAACGGTAGCAATGGGTTTCATGTGAACCTCTAGCCTTCCCCACCCCTTAGAGTAGCTACAGTAAAACAACCAAGGGTGGGTTCCAGGGCAGAAGGTCATGTGAAACCCGCTGGTATGGTGTTTCCTAAGCACAGGCATAAACACTTCCATAACTAAATGACCCCAAAACAGCCTTTGATGTACACAGTGGCTTGAATAGTATCCCCCCAAATTTCACATCCACCTGGAACTTCAGAATGTGAAGTTTGGAAGTAAGGTCTTTGTAAATGTAATTCACTAAGGACCCCACAGTAAGTCATCCTGGGTTTAGAGTGAACTCGAAATTCAAAAAAATGGTGTCTTTCTTTTCTTTTTCTTTTCTTTTTTTTTTTTTTTAATAACAGTTCACTCTCCATAGAGACTGTCAAAAATCGTCAATGCTGACTATATTTCAAGTCGTCATGGCAGGGTATTGTGAAAAGTTTTCAATTAGCAATAATCATGCCTCAGATAAACCTCACTGGCTAAAATATCGCCATTGCGCAAAGCTAAAATGGTATCTTCACAAAAGAAAAGAGACGGAGATTTGGATAGAGACACAGGGGGACATTGGAAAAGGCTACGTGAAGACACAGGCAGAGATTGGAGTCAAACTGCCAGAAGACAAGAAATGCCAGGAGCCACCAGAAACTAGAAGAGGAAGGATTCTCCCCTCTATCCTGAGAAGGAGTGTGGCCCTGAGGACTTCTTGATTTCAGACTCTGGGCTCTAGAACTGGGAGAGAAGAAACTGCTACTGTTTCAAGTCACTCAGTTTGTGCTGCTTTGTTATGGTGGCCCCAGGAATCCTAAACAATATGCTATCAGGAAACAATGGAAACTGCACTGAACTATTTATTTATATTATTATTATTATTATTTTGAGACGAAGTCTCGCTCTGTCGCCCAGGCTGGAGTGCAGTGGCGCGATCTCAGCTCACTACAAGCTCTGCCTCCCAGGTTCAAGCGATTCTCCTGCCTCAGCCTCCCGAGTAGCTGGGTCTACAGGCACGCACCACCATGCCTAGCTAATTTTTGTATTTTTAGTAGAGATGGGGTTTCATCATGTTGGCCAGGCTCGTCTCGAATTCCTGACCTCGAATGGTCTGCAGGTCTCGGCCTCCCAAAGTGCTGGGATTACAGGCGTGAGCCACTGCACCTGGCTACTATTTATTTTTGAAACAGAGTCTTGCTCTGTTGCCTAGGATGGAGTGCAGTGGTGTGATGATGTAAGTCTCGACCTCCTGGGCTCAAGCAATCCTTTCACTTCAGCCTCCAGAACAGCTGGGACGATAGGCTTATGCCACCATGTCCAGCTAATTGTTTTATTTTTGTATGGATGGGGTCTCATTTTGTCCGGCAGGCTGGTCTTTAACTCCTGGACTCAAGCAATTCTCCCGACTTGGCCTCCCAGAGTGATAGGATTACAGGCATGAGCCACAGCACCCGACCTGCACCGAACTTCAGAAGAAACTACAGCAAGGCATGTTACCTCAGGTAAGTATTGAAATACTAGCTTTGTTAAAAATGCATGTAGTGT